GTGCGTGTCAGAAGCTGGTGTTATTCTTCATCGGGAGTGTCCCATGGGATAATACATAGTCCCAGCCATTATATCTGGTGGCTTCTGTCACATCCTTTATTCTTCCCGATAATTCCAAATTTAACCATGACACTCTTGTTTCTGAGAAGGAAGTTGAAAAAAAAAGAAAAGCAATTGACAAGGAATCACATTCACTGTTGCTGGGTCCACAGTATGGGCCATAGTCTGTGAGCCTGTTACCAAGGACTTGAGTGAGTGTGGCACCTGCCAAGTCACTGGACAGGTCCCTGGTGGGCAGGACTGGCCCTGGACTGCAGCTGAGCATACCTAGATCTAAGTCACAGGTCTGCAGTAGGGTCCACAGCCGGGACCAAGTTCTGCAGGCCTGCCTCTGGGGGCACAGATGGGCATGTCTCCCTCCTGGTCCCTGGGTGGGCAGGACTGCTTTTGGACTACTACCGAGAGGGACTGGATCCAACTTACAGGGCTGCTTCAAAAACCAAAGTTGGACAGAGTTTGGCAGGCCTGACTCTGGGAATACAAATGGGCTTGTCTCTTGTTGGGTCCCTTGGATGGGTACGACTGCTCATAGGCCATTGCTAAGGGGTATTAGAACCAAGTTACAGGGCCACTTCATTATCCACAGTTGGACCGAGGTTGGTGGGCCTGCCCCCAGGGCACAGATAGACGTGTCTTCAGCCTGGTTTCTGGTCAAGCAGAACTGCCCCCTGGACTGCAGCGGGGCTCATCTGGAGCCAGCTTACAGGACCACTTCAAGATCTGCAGTTGGACCGAGGTCGGCAGGTCTGCCTCTGGGAGCAAGGACAGGTGTGCCTCCCAGCACATCCCTTGGCAATAGCACTGCTCCCAGACCAGGGCTGAGAGGGACTGGAACTGCATCATGAGCTACTACAGGGTCCAAATCTAGGACTAAGGTCAGTGGGCCTGTTACTTGGGACATTAGTGAGCGTGACTCCTCTTGGGTCCCTTGGCAAATAGTGCTGGTGGCAGGCCCAAGGCCAAACAGGACTGTAGCTGCGTCTGTAAGCGGACAGGCTATTTCTGGGTCTGTAGCCAGGACCAGAGCTGGCAAGCCTGCCACCTGGGCATGGGCCAGCTTTCTCAAATTGGTCCTTGGCAGTTGTGGGCTCCATCAAGGTTTTACAAGCTCCTATCTGGATGCCCAAGCCCCCACAAATGCACTTTTGTCCATGGATGGCTGCCAAATTGTTGTTGTGGGGGTGTATGAATAGGGGACCTCTAATTCTACCATCTTACTGATGTCACCTACAGGATAGTGAGTCTCTTCATTCAGCCTATAGATATATAATCATGACTTTCTTAAAGTACTTATAATGTTATTTTAAAAATCATCTTTAACGTGCTTTTTTCCAGTGTCTCTCCTTTGCATTTTACATATCCTCAGGAATAATGACTAAATCTGTTTAATTTTTGCCTCCTTTTAAAATTTACTCCATCACATGACCTCTTTAAGCCTCTAAACTAGCACTGATTGTTATTGTTTCTTCCCTAAACAGTATTTTGTTGTTTAAAAACAAAAAAACAAAAAAAACAATCGAACATATTTCTACTTCCTGTAGTGGTGGACTGAGTCACTCAGCTGATTCTCGCACATTTCATTATCCAGGACAAGGTACATGGCCAAGCCTGAAACCCATGACATAGGGAGCCATATGTTCCCAAAAGGAAGAGCATCAAATATTTTGAACAGAAATAAAATCCAGTGATTTGGAACTATTAGTGCCCCTGATGGCTTGGAAAAATAAACAAACATTCTCTCAGGATGATAACCTCACCCTAGACCTCAAGTAACTCTACAGAAACTGTCCAGCAAAGATAACTAGGTACATAAGGAGAAAAGACAACATGAGTGATAGCCAGAATACATAACAGACAATAGAAATATACCCACAGGATCTAAATATTGGGATTACCAGAAAAAAACTGTAAAAGAGCTATTTACTGTGTTCAAGAAGATAAAAGCCAAGCTTAGATTTCAGCAGGGCACTGTTATAACCTATAAACAGTGAAATAACAGATTTGAAAATGAACCACACAGAAATTCTAGAGCTGAGAAATACAGTAACCCAAATTAATAAATCAGGCATGGTTTTAACATCAGATTAGACACAGCTGAAGAGTGAATTATCAAAATGGAAGACAAATCTGAAGGAAGTAATCAAAATGCAGCATGGAAAAACGAAAGGATAGAAAATATGAATAGAAAGGTAAGATACAGAGAACGCAGTGATTTTTAGCATACTAACTAAACTCCCAGAAAATATTGATAGAAAAGAAAGTAGAGACAGTATTTGTAAATATTTTTGTAAAAGATATTTGTAAAGATAATGGCTGAAATCTTATCAGAGCTTAAGAAAAGTATCACATAATTCAAAAAGTCCAAAAATATTCCAGGCAGAATATATTTTTAAAATCCTTACCTAGATACATTATAGTGAAACTATAGAAAACTTTAAAACCAGCCAGAGAAAGAAAGCAGGGTTCATTCAAAGTGTGATAGACTGATAGTAAACTTCTCATTCAACAGGAACATGGAAGCCACAAGAAAGTACAGTGATGTTTTAAATGTACTGAAGGAAAATAACTGCCAACCAGGAAAAAATATCTTTCATAAATGAAGGTGAAATAAAAGACATTTTTAAATCAACAAAAGCAAAATTCGCCTCTAGAGGATTCATGCTAAAAAGAATTTCTATGTAGAAAATAAATGTAGTTACCAAAGGGGAAGGGGAGGAATAAATTAGGAGTATGGGATTAACAGATACACACTACTGTATATAAAATAGATAAACAACAAGGATTTACTGTATAGCATAGGAAACTATTCAATATCTTGAAATAACCTATAATGGAAAAGAATCTGAAAAAGTGTGTGTGTGTGTGTGTATATATATATATAAAACTGAATCACTTTATTGTACACCTGAAACTAACATAATATTGTAAATCAACTATATTTTTAAAAGAAAGAATTTCGAAAGGGTGTTCTTAAAAATATAAGGTATAGAGATCAAAGAATTTAATTAATATATGGATAAAGCTAAATGAATACTGACTATATCATAATAATGTCTTGTATTCAAATGTATACAAATATTTACATATATAATACATCCTATTATAAAACATTACAAAAATAGCATATAAGTCAGGAAAAGTAAATGGTTTTAAGGTGTTCTAAACTCTGTACATTGTCTGGGAAAAAGATAAAGCTATTGATTTACATTAGACTTTGATAAGCAAAGGTGGAGTACAACCTAATTGTGGAAGACAAATGTGGAAGATAAATTTAAAAGCTCCTAGAAGATAACATAGAACAGTATCTTTATGACCATGATATAGGAAAATATTCCTTAAATAGGACACAAAAGGCACTGATTATAAGGGCAAGGATTAGTAAATTGATTACATTAAAATTAGAGACTGTTCTGTTCATCTAGACACTGTAGAGTAAAAAACCAGAGCTCAGAGTGGGGAAAGATATTTGCAACACATATAACTAACAAAAGACTCATATACGTATTACAAATCTGTAAAGAAAAGAAGGCTCATCACCCAACAGAAGATTGAGCAAGAGGTTTAACAGACTGTTTCAAAGAGAAAATCTAAATTGCCTTCAACATATGATAATGTGCTCAATCTCAACCATCAGAGAAATACATATTAAAACCACAATGAGATATCACCCAACACAGTGGTTTAAATTTTTAGGTGATTTTTTTTTTTTTTTCTTTTTTGGCTGTGCCACACGGCTTGCAGGATCTTAGTTCCCCAACCAGGGATCAAACCCGGGCCCTTGGCAATGAGAGCACGTAATCCTAACCACTGGACCGCCAGGGAATTCCCAATGGTTTAAAATTTTAAAACTGACAATACCAATTATCGTGGATGTGGAGTAATAGGAATGCTCCTGTGTTGGTGGGGATACAAATTAGAACAATAATTTTAGAAAACAGTCTGGAATACCCAATAAGCAGCAATTCTACTCAAGTATGTGTGACCCAACAAAAATGTGTTCCTAGCAGTATTATTCATAGTGGCCCAAAACCAGAAATAAGTCATCTATCAACAGTAAAAGGGATGAATTATGATGTATTCTTACAATGAATATTCAGCAGTGAAATACTGTACTCACAAGAAATGAATAAATCTTACTACATAGAGTTGAGCAAAAGAAACAAAAGAAAAATAATATATGCTGTAAGAATCCATTTATTTATATAAAGTATTTTAAAAGGGTAAAACTAATATATGAGGTTAGAAATCAGGATAGTGGCTACCTCTGGGGAGCAGGAAAGTGTGTGTGGTGACTGGGAGAAGCACAGATTACTCATAATGTGCTATATTTCTTGATCTGAGTGGTAGTCACATGAGTGTGTTCAGTTGGTGATAATTCATAAAGCTGTACACTTACGGTTTGCACATTTTTCTCTATGTAATTTCACTTCAGTTTAAAAGGTCCTTTAAAACAGGAAGTGTGGGCTTCCCTGGTGGCGCAGTGGTTGAGAGTCCGCCTGCCGATGCAGGGGACACGGGTTCGTGCCCCGGTCCAGGAAGATCCCACATGCCGCGGAGCGGCTGGGCCCGTGAGCCATGGCCGCTGAGCCTGCGCGTCCAGAGCCTGTGCTCCGCAACGGGAGAGGCCACAACAGTGAGAGGCCCGCGTACTGCAAAAAAAAAAAAAACAGAAAATGTAATTGAGAGCGTACTCAGTGATACATGTGATTTATAGGAACTCAAATATAAAGTGATATCCTCCTCAGGATAATTTTGAAGAAAGCCTCTCCTTATATTGGGTGACATGGGGTATTGTTTACCTGTCTCTCTCCCCTAATAGACTCTGAACGTTGGTGGGGGCAGGGCCTGTGCCCCCATCTCTACCTGACAGAGCACTTTCTCACTGTTTGTGGGATTCACGAAATAAGGTACTAACTTGAGAAATGTGCTCCTATTCCCAGGTTAAGAAAACGACTGAGGCCACCTTGCAGACGATACAAGATATGGTCACCATCGAGGACTACGATGTTTCTGAATGCTTCCAGCACAGTCGTTCCACAGAGTCTGTGAAGTCTACTGTCTCTGAAACCTACCTGAGTAAGCCCAGTATCGCCAAGAGAAGAGCCAACCAGCAGGAGACCGAGCAGTTCTACTTCATGGTATGCCTGCTGCTTCCCCAGTCACTCTTGGGGCTCAGATCCCAAGCACTGTTTCTGGAGTTGCATCAGAATCACCTGGGGTTCTTTACTAAGATCAGAATTTCCAATTCAGTAGGTCTGGGATAGGGTTTAGGAGATAGTAGTGATATGCAGACGAATTTAAAGAGGACTGCTCTGAAACAGAACTTTTAGATTATTTAATGAACATACATGTCACCAGGAGAGCTTGTTACAATGCAGGTTCTGATTCCAGTAGGTCTGGGGAGGGAGGCACCTGAGAGCCCACATCTCTAATAGGCTGATGCCACAACACTTTGCTTAGCAAGGTTCTATGCTCTAAAAGACAAAAGTGGCTGGATTTTCGTTATCCTATAGGAAGTTTCTGGACACTGAATAATTTTTTTTTAAGTTAAAAACATATCTTTGCTTTTGCAGAAACTCAGAGAATATTTGGAGGGTAGTAATCTCATCACAAAACTTCAAGCCAAGCATGACTTGTTGCAGAGGACCCTTGGAGAAGGTCAGTTATCTGACATAGTTGGGGAGATGACCTGGATTATATGTTGTGTCATGTATGCATTCCATGAAGAGTGTGAACTGTGAATTTGTGCTGGAAGAAGCAGAGAACGTTGTATGTTGAGATTTGGCTTTATCTGTGTAAGAATCAAGTTCTCCCTGGAACTGTTTTCTTTATGAGCTTGATGCTAACCCAAACAGGGAAATCTAGCCAACACAGAGCTCCAGAGGAAGGGTCTTCAGAGCACAGTGCTCCTAGGAAGAGAGAAGTCAGAAGGAGCCGCACCTGTTCCCACCTGCTGACCCTGCGCCCCCCAGTCACTTCTTCCTTTCCTTCTTGGACTTCCCCACCCTTCCAGCCCCACCCCTTTTGTTTAAATGGACTAGTATTTGTTGTCCCTGTTTGGACTCCAGAAACCAGTTAAACCAGTTTGGGTGATTTTTTTTTTTTTCTTTCAGTAGGCATTGGTTTTACTTGAGAAGCAAACGAATTCTATTAAGCATATTGCTGTATCTAATGGTACCAAAAACAACAGTAGCTACCACTAACACAAGGCTCTCTCTGTGCCAGTCATTGTTCTGAGCTGTATATATATAACTGGGCACTATTAATTTCCCCATTTTTACAGATAGTAAAACTGAGGAGAAAAAAAAGGATTAAAGTAAAGGGTACAGTGTAGATGTTATTGCTTCCCTTTTCATCTTCATGAAATTTAAAAGGGAAAAAAAACACAAATGAAGTTCCTGTCATAAGTACCTCATAATCTGTAATACATTTAATTATCTTTTATTCATGCTAGATCTTGCTGGAAGTTATAAAAATAAAAGAGAATACAGATGGGAGAGGGAAATCAGGGGACTGAGTTGTGTAAATAACTCGGGCCAAAAAGAGTTTGCTCCCTTGACCTAAACGCTTGCCTCCTACCATTTTAGAACCTTCCTTAGCCATAAAGCAGGGTTTCCATCACCTTATCTCCTGGTTTCCTCTAAGCGACCATTATCCTCTGGAAATGTCCACATGGAGAAAGATCATCATAACCTGAAACTCCGTGTATTGCAGTTAGGATGACAGACTGTAAGATAAAAGGCCAGTTTCACTTAGAAAAAAAGCAAATAACATTTAAAGTGCTAAGAACTGTCTTAAAAAATAAAATAACAAAATACAATATGTGAACCTTCATTAAACTGTGAATCAAAAAGCAAAGTTGGGCTTCCCTGGTGGTGCAGTGGTTGAGAGTACGACTGATGATGCAGGGGACATGAGTTCATGCCCCGGTCCGGGAAGATCCCACATGCCGCGGAGCGGCTGGGCCCGTGAGCCATGGCCGCTGAGCCTG